CTCCAATGAGGGTGGTTGGCTCCTTTGTCAAAGATGAGGTGGCTGAGTATGTCTGGAGTTGTTTCTGCATCTTCTAATCTATTCCACTGATCTCAGGTCTGTTTCTTTATCAGTACCATGCTGTTTTTATCACCATAGCTTTGTAGTACAGTTTCAAGTTGGGGATTGTGATATCCCCTGCCATGTCTCTGTTGCCTAGAATTGCTTTTGCTATTCTATGTCTCTTCTGATTCCAAATGAATTTTTCAATTGTTTTCTGTAGTTCTGTGGAGTATATTGTAGAATTTCAATAGGCATTGTATTAAATCTATATAGTAGTTTTGGAAGTATGGCCATTTTCACTATATTGGTTCTTCCTACCCAGGAGCAAGAGATGTCTTTCCATTTTGTTATATCCTCTTCGATCTCTTTTTTCAGAGTGCTGTAGTTTTCAGTGTAGAGGTCTTCTGCTTCCTTTGTTAGATTGATTCCTAGGTATTTCAGTTTCTTGGATGCTATTGTGAAAAGAATTGTTTCCCTAATTTCTCTTTCAGTGAGTCAAAAACAGAAACATTTAAACCGGGCTTGAGTAACTTTTGTGTCCTGAAGCTTCAGGTTTTTCTAAGTAAAATTTTTAAATTCTGATTTTTCTGGTCTTTTTCACCTACCTTTATTTCTTCTATTATACCTCAATCCTCAAATCAGGAGGATCACTTGAGCCCACAAGTTCAAGACCAGCCTAGGTAATATAGTAAGATACCCTATATCAAGCGTTAGCGGAGGAGGAGGTGGTGGTGGTGGTGTCACAAGTAAAACTTTCCTGCAGTTTTTCATTTCTCCATTTCCATACTAGTCATGTTTCTCTGTTCTTTTGTTTCAGTTCCTCTTTACCCCATTTCTTATCTAGAAAGTCCTGGATCTGCATTTTGAACTACTAGAGATTATCCTTAAATGTCAACATATTTCAAACTGTATTACTCTGGCTATTTTTAAAAAATCAGCCCATATCTCTAAGTAACTTTCTTTCACTCTTCTTGCCTCTTTCAAGCATATTTGAGCTTGAAAAAAAAGAATCATTTCTTTTTCTCTAAAAGCTTATTTATAAAAGTTTTGATGGTATCCAAAGTGAATGGTTTTGGTTTTTTGTTTTGTGTAAAATGAATATTTTAAAGGGGAATTGAAGAGGAAAATAGTAAGAATTCAGGAGAAATCAAATAACAGATGGAGGGCTGGTTCTGAGGAAGAAAAGTGGATAAAAGGGAAGTGAACTGAACATAGATGAAAGAACAACCTTGAAAAACAGAAGGTGATATAGATGAAATAGGAGATAAAATATGAAAATATTATATCTCCTAACCTGTTAGATATCTGATACATCAAGCTTGTATTCTCTGAAAATTGAAGAATGAATTCTAGGAACATAAGAGAGGAAGTGTTAAGAGTTAAGTTAAGAGTTAAGAACATAAGAGGGAGTTAAGAGTAGGAAAATGTTTATTGATGGGCTAGCTCCTAAGAGTCTTGAATTGGTAGCCAGGAACCTCACTGTACAGGGTTTCATAGAGCAAAGCCCATGTAGGTACAACGTGGGATATAGCTATGATCACCCAATAATGTTACAAGTATAGTTGCTTAGGTAATAGTGCTCCAATTGGGAAACAAGTCACATAACGTGTGTGGATGGAAAGAACCAACTTCTAGGAAATGATGGTTCCAGAGCTCTTTGGTCACCCACCGAGGTGACTGATGTCTATCTATATTTCTATAGGCCCAGCATTTGTCCTTAGAGGAAGTACACAGGCCTGGTTATCTTAGTCTTTATCTTGAGGCCTGGTCTCCAGCAGGTGTGTCTCCACCACAGTTGCCATGTGTTTTTATCTTTGCCCTAACTCTCTTCAGGGCCCAGCCCTCTCTGACTACCTATAATATTTCTATCTAGCTGTCTATAACAAAGGGATAGTTTGTTCTCTGTAACAAAAAGTTGAAGAAATTCAGTGAAAGATGAATGAATGTTTAAATATGACAATATAAAATAAAGTTTTCACCCAGGAAAACTTTTTCTCCAAAGTCAGGAGCAAATTTTAAAAGATCATTAGGTGCTCTAAGCAATTGAGGATAGTATTAGGAACCTAGAAATAGGTACAAGGAAAATGGGAGAATACCTTAGTCATGCTGTCACTGGGGTGGGGATGATAGTCCTCCAGGCAGAAAATAAGGAACTTAACCTACCCTTTTTGCACAACAAGTATGCAGGTTCACTGAATCGCACTGCAGAAAAATAATTTTCAGGACATGCTGTAAAAGACATGAGAAGGGTTTATTAGATTTAGGATGCATTCAAGAGTGGAGTATGGGTGTTCAGAGTAAAAATGAAACTTATTTGGAGCCAGAGTTTGGTACATTTAAGAGAATGTCTTCAAGATGGGTGATCTAGGATATGTATTCTGTCAGTTTACAGTGCAAGCCATCTACATGTATTTGAATTTGAGAAATGCTGCCTGCCAAAATTGCTGCTTCCTGAGGATCGGAGGAAGCACAATTTCAGGTGAAAGGGATACATTAAGAATCTGGAGGGCCAGGGATTTAGCTCAGTGGTTTTGCCACCTGCTGCGCAAGCGCAAGGACCCGAGTTCAATCCCCGGTACCAAAAAAAAAAAAGAATCTGGATTTACAGGCTGACTGTAAAGGTATTATAGACAGATAAGTTAGGTAGAATTATTATAGGCAGTCAGACAGGGCTGGGCCCTTGAGAAAGTCAGTGCAAGAAGTAAAAACACATTACAAGTATGGCCAGAGGCACATCAGTTGGAGGTCAGGCCTCAAGATAAAGACGGAATGACCAGGCCTACATACTTCCCCAAGGGATGAGATAAGTGGTAACATCTGGTCTAATGGAGTCTAGATAGACATGGGTCACCTTGGTAGGTGACTAAGACCCTTGGACCCATCACCTTCCTGAAATGTTCTTTGTTCTTTCCATGTGCACTTGCTACATGATTGCTTCCCCACTGGATCACTGTTACCTAAGGGACTATGCTTGTAACCTTATCGGTCAATTGTAGCTTTAACCCACAATGCACCTATGTGGTTGTGCTTCATAAAACCTTCCCCTGCAAAGTGAGGTCCTCGGCCACCCGTTCAGGACCCCTCGTGCCTCTCTGGAGCTAAAATATCTCCTTTCAGTAAATATTTCCTACTCTTAGCCTCCCTTATTCATTAGAATTCATTCTTCAATTTTAGGGAACACAAACTCAATGTATGATATCTAACAGGATTGGGAGTAATAATATTCCCCCTATATCATTTGGAGGTCTATATCATTCCTACATCAAAAGGACCTTTAGGAAAAAAAGTTACAATTTGAACGAGTTTCCCGGAAGGGAAAAAGGCTTGAGTAACTTCTGTGTCTTGAAGCTGTAGTTTTTCTGAAGAGTTCAACTTCAAAATCTCAATTTTTCTCTCTCCTTTTTACCTAGTTTTTATTTTTTCTAACCTACCTCAATGCTAGGTACTCTTAATACCTTCTGAAAAATCTTGCTGCCACTTAAATCAACAGGAAAATTTGTCTCTGAACTAATGGCTCAAAAGAGTATATTTTAAAAGTTGTTAATCATTGATTAAGAAAGACATCAATGCTACTGAAGATGAAAGAAAGTCTTACCAAGAAAAATGCTAAATATGAGCAAGGGAAAGTTATCAAACAAGATGAGTCACTTAAACTCAACACACTAGCATCAGTACAAATGTCAAGGCAAAAAAAAAGAAGCATATGAATTTGTGGTAGGAGGTTAGGTCTGGGGCAAAACCAATTAACCTACCAGCAAAAATCTGCCAAATTCATGGAGACCCAGGACACATGTGCCAAACACAGGATCCATGATGACTCAGCAGCTCCTGAGCACAGTATACAGAACCAATCAGAAAATGTTACTTTCAGTGTTTTATTTACAACTGGCATGAAGTTAAGCAAGTCTTTCCACAGGGCAGTTTAAACTTGATGCCAGGCCAAGTGAGTTTTTGGTAGGACACCTGCCCCACTGTCTTATTTGCACAAGGGAGAAGCCAATCCAAGAATTCCAGATACAAAAGACCCCTTTTCCTTACCCTTGTTGTGGCTGTGAGTCTGTTCACCAGCCTGCTCTCATTCTGCAGAGAGACCTTCTTTTCCACTTTTAATAAATGTACATCCCCACTACCTTTTCTGTGTGTCTTATCCAAGTTTTTGTTTAGGGCACCAACAACCTGGAAAGAATTCCCCTGAGACCCACCATCTGGTCACAAATTGACATGTCTATTGCTCAATTTCATAATAATTTTGCTATTTCATTCACTTTATTAATGGTAATTTGTTCAGTGCCTGAATATGATTTTATGTTTTCTGCTTACATTCACCAGCTTTGAATTAATAAAAGAAAATCACTGGGCAGGGGCTGAGGAGGTCCTCCAAGAAGAGGATGTGGAACCCAACTCACCCCACCTGGCGGGTAGATTGTAGTGTTGCTGACTTCTGTCACAGAAAAAGAATTTTCAAGATGTGTCATGAGAGGCATAAAGAGGTTTACTAGGCAGAATTTTAAAGGCATACACTCAGAAAATAGAGTACAAGATCATGAGAGGAACATTAGGGTCTGGAGCTAGGACTATGCACGTGGTCTTAGGGGTTTCTTTAAGATGAGTGTTCTAGGATGTATATTCCCCCTGTCAGGTTACTCACTGGCAGGCTATATTAGAATACAAATCATTTATGTGTGTTTTAGGTTGAGATATGCTACCCACTAATATTGCTGCGTCCTTGAGGATGGAGGTCTGTAGAAGGACGGGCAATTTATAGGTGAAAATCATGGGCCCAGACCACAATTTACAGGTTTATTGTGTCCTAAAGACGCTTAGGATTTTTTTTATGGTTCCTGAAAGGGAAAAAGGCTGGAGTAACTTTTGTTTCCGAAGCTGCATTTTTTCTTAAAATTACCATTTGAAAATTACAATTTTCCTTGTTCCCTTTCTACCTATTTTTTATTTCTTCTCTTCTATCTTGGGGCAGGTCTATTACACAGGGTTCTCTTCTTGCCTTATTTCAGCAAGAACATCACAATCAATTGTAATTACATATCATCATAAGCTATATAGTTAAGAGTTAGAGGTGCCACACAAGGATCACTGGGTTTGAGAGAATTAGATACTGCTCTCGTTAACTATCTTCTCAGCTTCAGCTGGAGTCAAAATGTAACGTGTGACTACCTGTTATGCTGGATGTCAATCCCTGTGCAGAAAGCTTAAATAAGAATGCTGGGAAATCTCAACTCCTTCCTCATTCCACAGTATTTCTGGCCACTAATCTTTCCTATCATGTATCTTTTTCAGATGTTTGATTGAATCAATATATGTTATATTTTTGCGGGGTGTTTTCCTTCATAGAAATTAACTACTTATTATTAATATAAGAAGCTTGGGTAGTTAGCCTTTTAGTCAACAGTGAAAACTGCAGACAAAGATGTATTCAGTCATCTGAAAGTATTGTCTATAATACATAATTATAACTTCTTGAATATTTTTGCAGTTTTCTAGTGTACTCCGTATAAAACTTAAAAAGTTGAAATTATCATCTGCTTCAAAATAATACAGTGTGACTTTAAAATGTAACAGCAAGATTCCTGTGAATTGCCAGACTATGCTAATGTGGCTACTTCCTCATCAAAGACAAAAAAACAAAAATGAGTAAGATACAATAAAAAGATCAAATTCAAAGATTAAAAATAAATATCCAGATGCCGGAAATGAAACAAGAAAACACAGTTAAAATAAAATAAGTATTTTATGCCAGAAAATTTTGAGTTGGTTTGGCAGAGCCTGAATGATATGCCAGCTAATATATAATTCATTGTATAAGAATAAAATAAATACATCTTTGCAAAAAACCCCTGAAATTTCTCTTTTCTAGGTACCTCTGAAAGAATAACTAAACTTCGAGAAGTAACGTAAATTAGACATGCATGCTTAAATATTACATGGTTTTTCTTAAATGGGAAACTCAAAGTATAAATAATTTAATGAGAATAAATATAGAGAGATGTATTACAAAACAGGGAGATAGATCTTTTGCAAATAGAAAAGGAACAAAAAGGGAGCAGGGACAGTGGAGAAAGGAAGGGAAAATAAAAAAGAAATAAGATGTGTTATGTGTGTGTTCCAACTCCTGACAAGGAATGTAATCATTATGTACTAGAAACATATATTAATAAAAATATAAATTTAAAAAAGTATAAAAGAAATTGAGCTCAGAAGGAAATAGCTGGATGCTAAACACTAATAAATGTATTCATAACCTAAGTAAATATTGACCGTACAAACAAATAATGATAACTAAATTTGTAGGAAAGAATAAGCATAATGAAGAGCTAAAATATTAAAAGCAATTATACTGGAGAGAGGTATGATCAGAACTAAGTTTCCTGGAAAACTTACAGTTCAAGATGAGGATAGAGGTGCTGATTAACTTTAGAACTGCGCTACTCAGTATGGCAGAGGGCAAACCCAGAGCCCTGTGGGGATTTAAATTTCAAGTTTAGTTAGTTAAAAAGCCTTGATATTTTAAAATTCAGTTTCCTTTATCTGTGACATGGAAAAAGCTTGGAAGTCATCATTTCATGACTTACAATAAGAAAAAAAATCTTAAAAAACTGAAAATTGATGGTGTTTCATGGACCCATCAAGACTTGCGCTTTCGAGGCACACTACGACATTAAAATCCATCAAAACAAGTGAAGGCAAAGAATCAGAGATCATCTTACCTGGAGCAGAAGTCACTAGGAAGAAAACATTCAAAAGTAATTTTCATGAGTTGCTGGAGGCTGAATGCACACTAGAGCGAGAGTGAGACCCTCCAGGGGTCAGAAGCATTGGATGTAACTGGACCGGGGCAAAAGCTGTAGGCCTAGGAAAATCTATCTAACTCTAGAGACTGAAGGAAAATACTCTGACCTCTCTCATCTTTCATGCTCCCATCTTCTGAGACTTCTTCCTATTATGTTGATCAAATTCAAAGGGAAGCCAGTCATTGAAGAAGAGAACTGGTGATGCTCTACTCAGTGGTCAGCCTCTTTGAGAAAGTCTATGCTAGTAAAATAGAAAATAAATCCAATATAAAGCTTGTCTATAGTAGACTTGGAGATAGTATGGTTCTTTCACCATTTTTATTCTTTCTTTTGTTTTATTCTAACCTCTTATATCAGTTCATCTGCCTTTAGACAGTAATTTTCATAAAAGCCCACTAATACCTTCAAAAACAATCACATTTGATGGTTTTAGCAAAATATGTCCAGTTTAATATTTTTAAATAGTCATATGGATCAGTTTTTAAACAAAAATGTGTAAAGAACACAAGCAAAGATTTGTCATATTGTTACATATTGCTACATATAACCATCTGTGAAATGGTTATATGTTGCAAAGTTATACATTTGAATAACACAGAATTTGTTGCCTGAATTCCAGAAATAATTTAAATAAATTCAACTCTCATACGTCACTTGCAGTTCCTGAATAAACAGTAAACTATACATCATTTATCATAGATTTGGAAACATAACTTTTTAGATATAATGACAATATAATTTGATTATTCTTTATAATAAATGCTGAGCACCAGAAGTGTTTCAGATTTCAGACATCTTTAGATTTTGAATAGTTAAACATAAATAATGAGATATCTTAGAGTTGGGAAAAGTTTAAACACGAAGCTCACTTATGTTTTCTAGGTACCTTATACACATGACCTGAAAGCAATTACATACAATATTTGCAGTATGCCTGTGTTTTGACTGTGACCTGTTACATAAGAACAGATGGGAATTTTCATGTTGGTGTTTAAAAAGTTTTGGAATTAGGAACATTTTGAATTTCAAATTGAAATATTCAATCTGTATATATAAAATATATTGGTAAAATATGTAATCATATAGTTTATAAAATGGATAAGAAAAAGATTAAGGCACAAAAATAAATAAGAAAAGAATATAAATAATTAAAACAAAATAAAATCCAAATGTATAAAGTTGCAACAATACTATTAATTTGAAATTAAAAGTATTTCAATGTTATATAAGTAAATATGTATATCTATTCAAGAAATTATGTTGTACTAAATGGTTACAACTATGTTTAAAAATACAATGAAAAAGGAAGAAGATAGTTGAAGATTTTATATGGACCAATACTTTTATTCAATTTTATTTAATTTTTGTATTTCTCTCCATTATATACATTTTCAGTAAATATAAAAAATGTTTTTAAGTTACATAGTACATTATCGATTATTCATTCTAATCATTGGTACATTTTAGGTATACAAAGAAGAGGTACAAAGGGGTAGGGGTAGTGGGAGGGGCAGGGGAAAGGAAAGAAGGGAAAGGAAAAATGATGAGAAATGGAAAAAATGGAAATAAAGTCTTTGTAAATAGGGAAGGGTGGAGGGCATGGAGGGAGGGCTAGGAATGGGGAAAAAATAAGAACCAAGATGCATTATGTAAAGGTACAATTCCCAATGAGAAATGTAGTTGTGTTGTATACCTACAATGTACCGATAAAAGAATTTAATACAAAAAAAAAAGTTATATAGTACAGAATGATGTTATATAATATATCACTGAAAAATAGAATAGGCATATTGTTTGGTCTTCAAAAGGTTTTCTGGTGATACTCAGAATGAAATGGGTAATTTTAAAGAAAAAAACACAACAAAATGATATGTAAAGCTGACACATGAAAGATGTGTATAGATGGATACATATGCACATACACAAATATAAGAGGCAAATGAAAGTAAAATAGTAGCAAATACACAGAAAACTACTGATGAAGTGGTGAGTAATCAAAGAACTGAATATTTAAAATTTAAAAATTATTATAAGGATTCCCTTGAAAAAATATTATAATGACTCCCTTCTTAAAAATTTGCCTAGTGTGTGGTTGTTCACTAGTGAATTAAATGCTTCCTAACCCTTGTGAATGTTAAAATAATTTCTGGAAAGATTTCAGGAGAAGAATATTGCACTGTGCTTATATATAAAATTAAAACCATAAAACTGATGTATCAAAAACCAGGGTGAAATAGTCTCACTGCTGCTGGCTACTGAATATACTTCTCATATGTTTCAACAATTTCAATAAAAGAATATTTTCATAAATGGTTAAAAAGTCACATTTCAAAAAATGCTAAATTTGTAATTTATTTCCACAATTTACAGTGCTCAACTTTTTGGGTGACTTTACTAATATTTTATTAATATTTTGTATTGCCTTTATGATTACACTTTCTATCTCCCCTAAGTCTAAGAAGAATAATTTAAAATTTTATTCATTTATTGATTAAACATATAAAATAAATCCTGATATTAAATGATCTTCTAAATTATGCAATTATTATCACATAAAATGTATGATTATAGGACATCAACAAAGAATAATTAAGCCCTGAGGTTTTAAGGCTCATTGGAATTAGGAAGGAGTTTCCATCTCATGGTTGTATCAACTTCGTCATCAACATTTTCCAGCTCTTGCTCCTTAGAAAGCTCTAAGAATACCTGAATAAGAGACAAAGGATAAGGAAAAGAAATTGTCATTTTGTTGATTGTCTTTCAAATAAACAGGAAAAACCCATGGTGCTTTCATGTGAAATGCAGAGTCTACTGAGTTGACTCACCTTTTCCAGTGTGCACTGAGAGAGGCTATAGTCTTCCAGATTGAAGGTATGTTTCACTGGGGAGAAAAGAAAAGAGTAGGAGTAGATGTAACAACTAATTACCAAAAATCATTTCAGTCATATAAATCACAAGTACATGTTATTAATAAATATAGAAGATAAATTGAATAAACAAATGCTTGGCAGAAGGATGAAACAATGATTGTCATAAAGAGTAAATATGAATGCATGTTAAATTCACCTAGATGTTAAGATCTGTTCATATAATCTTTTGATAATACATGTTGTGTTGCTTAGTGTATGTGTTCTAGGGAGATATATATGTTCCTTGAGGGACAACATCATTGATTGATATATTCTCTGCATGAGGAAGATGTCAGTCCCATCTCACACTCTGAAAGAACCCAGTACTCCATTCTGCAGATCCATCTGTCATTTGTCACTCGATTCACGTACTCACATGTATCATTTATATACAAAAAATCTCTTATGTGAGAAGCACTTTTAGATGCCAGGAAAAGAACAACAAAGAAAACAGACCAAAACTTGTCTTTGTGTTTTGTGGATAATACTTTATTTTATTTTATTTTATTTTTTGGTACCAGGGATCAAACTTGGGACCTTGTGCTTGAGAGGCAGGCAGTGGAACCACTGAACTAAATCCCTGGCCCATTGTCTATGCGTTTTGTATCTTAGTAGGAAGAGAATGGACATTAAATGTATGCTTAAATATATAATAAAATAAATGGTTTTAGTAGCTATGGAGAAGAACGAAGCAGATAAAGAAATGGGGAGAGCTGCACACTTTTTTTATAGGATCATCAGGAACAGCTATAATGATCAGTCAATAATTGAGCAGAAACCTGAGAAAATGAGAAAGTACCCTGGATATTTAGGAAGAATTGCACAAAGAAGAAATTAGCAAGTGCAAAGTTCTGAAGCCCTGTAGGGCCTATTTTTAAAATATATTATATATTACATATCATCTCTTTTAAATTATTATTCAAGTATGATCTTTCAAAAGTTTTATTTAAATATGGTCATTCTTACCTTCTTCTAGCTTGTGAAATGCCTGAGATAAAGGGTAAACATCTCCTATTGGCAGCTTATAAGTCAAGAAGGAGGAATACCTGGGAATAGGAAAACAATTATATTCAACTCAGAATTTAAGGGAAGAAGACAAGCATCAAAATAAATATTGATATTATCCTAAATTTATTTTTATAAATAAAAGCGATACAAAGTAATGTATGACTTAAATATGAGATCAAACTTATTTATCAATGGAAATAAATTTTAATGATTTTTGGTGTCTGTTATAGACAGATCTAATAATGATCCAGCATAATTATATATATATATATTTTTTTTCTCAGTTTACGCAAACTGTTTACTTGTTGGTCAGGAACTAACCTGAAATGAAACTTCAGCTTAATGATTTTTGGTGTCTGTTATAGACAGATCTAATAATGATCCAGCATAATTATATATATATATTTTTTTTTTCTCAGTTTACGCAAACTGTTTACTTGTTGGTCAGGAACTAACCTGAAATGAAACTTCAGCCTTGTCATCTGAAAAGTCACTTGTAAAGAGAACTATGTGATTGGGGTGGGGGGCACAGCTGTAGAGGGAGGACTCAAAGACCTCCCTGACCGCTAAAGGACAGCCAGCATTGACTTGGGACATTTGCTTCCATGTGCTACTTTCAGCTGTATAACCTCATGTCCTCCTCTTAGCTCATTCCCAAACAAGAGTCCTGATGGCCCCAAGCCCAACCAGACCTCCAGGACTTCCTTTCTTCACATCAGCCCCTGCTCTTCACACCTTACCATTCATGATCTTCCCACATATATCAAATTCACTTCTATGATTTATGACATGGAAGGTCTAAGAAAAAGGATGGAATTACATGTCCTAGCATTTAATACCATATATAATTCATTATATTTACACTGTGCTAAAATGCAAAGAGTAGCTTTATGCCTTTTTATATGTGTTTGTTCTAAGAAATTTTAAATTCAGCTCCTGTTCCACCTCCTTGCCTTTTCCCCCATTAACGTACAGACATACACAAGCATATATATACAAATGTACATCCCTCCTACCCTGCTCTCTCCTTTACATTCTCCATTTTGGAGTATGAACATTTTATTAAAGGGAGACTCTATCTTGATTGCTGTTTCCTATAGAGATGGACGGGTCACAGCTTCCTGAGTTGCTACCAAATCTCTTACAACCTGAAAAACTCAATACATCAGTTTTTGAGATTCTGATCTATTATTATAAAGCCAAATCGTCATGAATTCTCACAGAGAGTAAAGTAAACACTGAGAGGGTAAATCCGCCATGTTTCTCCATAGCCAAGAAAGCTCTTTTCACCTTTCCTGCTGTGCAGCCTGTGGGAAAAACTTCAGAATCTTGGTGTGAACCAAAGGCACTTGAGAAAGTTCCTTTACTTTTAGTTCTAGAATGTAATCTTTGCCAAGTATTCTTTTCAGATCTTGGATGGAGCCAATGCATCTATGGACAGGAAGGAAAATATATTGGAAAAAACACTGCCTTTAATTTTTTATTGTATTAATTTCAAATGCAGTAGAAAGAATGTCAGTGAAAAAGCCAAAAGTTAAGGTTCTAGATGGTGATTTTTGCCCTTTCCATGGGGAATTTTGATCCGGGGTCAAGAGTAGGCTTTGGAGAGATGCTCACCTCAGCCTTCCAGACACCATGATGGCCACTCGGTCACACAGAACCTCAGCCTCAGCCAGGTGGTGGGTGGTCAGGAGGACAGCCCGCTCTGTGTTTTCAACAGACCTCTGAATTGCTTGCCTGAAGTGAGCCAAGAAATTAACAGTATTTAAACAAGAAAGTACAGAACAATAACCAATAGTATTAAGAGTCTAATTAAAAAATGCTAGGGAAATATGAATACTGACTAGCTTTTTGATAATATAAAGAAAAGTTTTAATACTTTTAGATGTGTGAGTAGTATTGTAATTATGGTTTTAAAAAGTTGTCTTGTCTTTTGAGATGCTAATTGAAATATTAATAGATAAAAGGATAGATATGCTGCCTCACATCTCCTTTGAAACAATGGGAGGATAAGGAAACGAAGTGGGTATGGGTCTAGATGAAAGAAGGTTGACCTTCTATTGATTACTGTTGAAACTTAGTAGTGGTCTAATTGTTCTAATAGATTATAAAGGACTTTTCCTACATTTGCATAAAATCCCAAAGCACAAGGTTTTTTAAAACTTGGAAAAAACATTGGAGAGTCGCAAATATGAAACTGAATTGGAAGTTTTGTTAGTACAAAGAGGAATTCATAGATAAGAAAGTAGGAAGAAAAAAACTGTAAAATTGGATAGTCAAACATCACAAGTTAAACAAAAGAGGGAAAAGAAATGGAAAATTATGTCAGTGAGTTTACAGTCTCTAGAAAAAGGACCAGAAGAAGAAAAAGAAAAGTTATAGATATTTCAATAATTAAAAGGTAAAATTAAACACATTCCAAGTTAAAATGCTTTAAACTCCAACAAAATACTTAGATTTTTTTTTAGGCCTAAATACTATAGGACTATGGTGCTGATTAGATCATCTATTTGTTAAATATTTGTTTTCCTAATAATATGAATTTTTTTTTTGGTACCAGGGATCAAGCTCAGAACCTTGTGCTTGCAAGGCAAGCAGCAGAACCACTGAGCTAAATCCCCGGCCGTTAATAATATGAATTGTCTCTGCTATATTTTGGATCTTGAATGTCCCCTACAGGCCTCTATAATAAAGGCTGGTTCCCTTGAGTCATGCTATTAAGAGATGGTGGAATGGTAGAATCCTTTAGTGAGAGGTCTTTTGGTCGTGTGGCATGCCCTTAAAGGTATTATGAGGCCTCAGTGCCTCTTTTCTTTGTTCTCTGGCTCATGAGTTAACCAGTTTTGCTCTGCTATGTGCTCCCACCATGATATCATGGGCCATTGTAATGAAGCCAACTGATCAGAACTGGACCTCTAAAACTGTGAGCCAAAATAAACCTTTTCTCTTTTCAAATTAATTATCTCAAGTGGAAAAATACAGTGGCAGCTGATGTGACTACTAATATATCAGTTTTCTGCCACTGTGACAAAATACCTGAGAGAATTGATTTAAAAGAAAGGTTTGTTTTGGCTCATAGTTTCAGTCCATGGCCAGTTGACTGCTGTGGTTTGGCCTATGAAAAGGCAGAACACGGTGAGAGAGAGGGCGTGGTGGAGCAAAACTGCTCCCTTCCCAGTAGCCAGGATGCAAGAAGAGGGGCCAGGGTCCCTCATCTCTTACAAGGGCATGCCTCCAAAGACCTACCTTCCTTACACTATATCCCACCTTCTAAAGATTCCAATGACTCTCAATAGCACCAGAGGCTGGAAACTAAGCCTTCAATACATGAACCTTTGAGGGTCATTTAAGATCTAAACTATAGAAGCTGACTAACACAATCTCCATTGGATCACGCAGGAACTAGTAAGTTTGAAGGTTAATTTTCCAAGATTGATTTATAAATCAATCTTTATATAATGTTTGTACTCTGGCTCTGTGAATTATGATAATGCTCACCACATCTGATGTTGCCCTGTTGGATCTATGCCTGTAGATGGTTCATCCAGAAGCAGGATAGGTGAATCTCCCAGGATGCTCAGCACAAAACACAGCTGCAAGGCACAGAAACCCACTGTTTGCTTCTATACCATGTCAGCCCTCAGAGTAGAATCAGAATCCATACATACCTTTCTGGTAGTTCCTGCTGCTAACTTCCTCACTGGAACATTCAGATGTTCATGCAATTTGAAAGCATTCACTAATCTGATAGAAACAGGATGAGAATATCGGGTCAACAAAAGATTTTTGGAAAACTCTGGCACACAGACTTGCAACACTGAAAAGGGAAGCTTGATAGTATTATCCTCAAAGCTCCAAATCACAATAAAAAGAAAAAAAACAGATTTGGAGCATGATGTATTTTTCACCTCATAAAATCTTTTTAAGAAAAATTAGAATTCTGAATAAAAAACTGAAAATGGATGGTTATTCTATTCCCAACTTTTTATTAGAAAACTGAAATGGTGGTTGCTTGTGATTATTTACTTGCTTATTCCTTGTCAATTATTTTATGCAGTCACTTTTTCTTAAGCTTCCTCATTCAGAATGCAGGAAATCAGGTCTTGTTCCCCATCCTCTATCAACACTCTGTAAAGGTGAAAATGCCTTTCTTCTAAGCATTCTTTATTAGTGAGTTTATTATCAGTGGTACAGCACCCCTGCCTTGACACAAAGGAATCACAGATCTTTTCTCTACCGTGAAATGGTAATGGCAGTGTCGCCTTTCCTCAGCCCTTTCACCGCAGCATACACCTCCAGATGTTCTTTCATCGTCAGCCTAGGCCACATCACGTTCTCCTGAGGACAGTATCCCAGGAACTTGATCATGTCCTCTCCCTGGTCACCCCAAACCGAACTGAATCCTTTCAGTTCCACCTACAAAAGTACAATGGCTTTAGAAACAAGGTAGCCTTTTCTCCAAAGGTAAACTGATCAAGAACACTGACATATAACTTTTAAAGCCTAAGGTGTTGGAGAATCAAGGAAATCTCATAGAAATTGTTTCATATTTATGAGAAGACACAATGGAATCTACTAACATAAAGTTATAGTCTTACATATAAGGGAAAAGAGAGACCTAATCAGCTCAGGTGGTTCCTGAGAAGCTGTATGAGGAAAAGATCCTTGGCTCCTGGTCACATTCAATTCCCCTTACAAACTTTTAAATGCCCAGCAAAAGTAATAAAAGAAGGCCATACTCTTAAGTGAAATAAATAGGACACACATGTGTAAATACTGAATAATTTCTCTGGTATGAAAAACTAAAAGTGTAAATAAGGATCAAAATGTATAATTGATATTGTGAAATAGAAAAAAAAGGTCTAAAGGAGTAGGGGAAGTGGAAGGCCTAGGGGAAAGGAAAGAAGGGAAAAGAAAAAATACGAGAAAAGGAAAAAATTGAAATAAAGTCTTTGTAAATAGGGAAGGGTGGAGGGGGTGAAGGGAGGGGAGGGGAATGGGGAATAAATAAGAACCAAGATACATCATGTAAAGGTACAAGCTCCCAATGATGAATGTAACTGTACTGTATACCTAAAATGTACTGCTAAACTTAATGGGAAAAAAGTAATAAAAGAAAAAAATAATTTTAACTAAAGATGAGAGTATAGTTTTATATAGTCTATATTTATAATGAAACTTCTATTTTTAGACGACAAATCATTTCTTTGTTTTTCACTACCTCTCCAGCTGTTGGCTTTGTGATTCCAGCTATCATCTTAATAGAGGAACTTTTACCAGCACCACTGGGGCCTAGCAATCCAAAAATTTCACCTGAAAGAGAAGAATCAGATTATCAATATTGGAAGTGAAATACTGACTTACATTAACTTTTTTCTTCACTGAAATCTTTTGAGATCTCTGTACCTCTCAGTTAGTGACATTTTAAAATTTATAACATATATAACCCATGTCATGAAAACATTAATTCTTGTAATTATATCAAATACTAGCAGAAAGCCTACGAATGTGATGTCAGCTGTCTCTTTGCTCCAAATTTCTTGTTGCAGTTAAAAATGTGCCCCAGCTGTTTTCTATAGTAGATGGTTGAAGTACAGCGTATATAGGTAAATGATTCCTAAAACTAGGAACTAAAATTCAACTACCTGGGCCTAAACTACCATGACCTTTCATGTGAACTGATGCTCCCTACCCAAATTTATGAACAAGCAGCAGTCAGTATGTAATCTTTTCAAAATATAAATTAGAAGATGACACAAACCTGCCAAAAACTCTCCAAAGGCATTACACTAACTTGGCATAAACACAAATGTTTTGCTGTTTTAAAATGCTGTTCCTAGCTGGGCATAGTGGTGCATGCCTGTAATCTCAGTACTCTAGGAGGTTAAGGCAGGAGAACTGCAAGTCTGAGATTAGTCTAGGCAATTTAGAAACTTAGTAAGACCCTGTCTCAAAATAAAAAGAGCTTGGTATGTAGCTGACTGCAAATGCTCTGGATTCAGTACTCAGTACTAGAAAATAAAAGCTATTTCTAATGTAGCCCCCTCCACTTCATTGACTTCATCTCTTCCATTTATAGATGCATCCAGAGGCCTCTCTGTATGAGATGCAACTATCCCAAATATGCTGCTATGCCTGAGTCCCTGTCCTTAGTGTTTCTTCTACATGGGTGCTCTTATCTTTTAATGTTACGCATAATTAGCACTTTAATATCATACAGATCTTGGCTGAAATGTCACTGTTCAAATGAGGCCTTCCCTGATTCTAACCACTCACATCATTTCACATATTTCAGTGTTCCACACAAAACTTATTTAATACTTGACATTTTTCTTGATCAGTTATTTTTATTTATCGATCCCCTCCTTGCATATAAAATCCATGAGGGAAGAGAAGTTTGCTTATTTCCTTCACAATTGTGTTTCCAGACCCTACAACAGTCCCTGACACCTGAAAAAATATGTTAGATGATTGAGTGGATGAAAGCTTCAGCAAGTAAAATGTTGCCTATAACACAGATTTTCATTGAATATTTCTAAATATAATGATGAATTTAAAAAGTGATCACTCCAAACCTTTCTTAACACAGAAAGAGATATTTCTTGCTGCTATTTTCTTCTTCCTCTTTGCAAAGCAGTTTTTCTTCTGGCCTGCATATTCTTTGTGTAGACAGCTGGCAATTATGGTTGGTTTCTAGAAGAAATGACAGTATGATTTTCTTCGTAAGTTTCTAAGACTTTATGTTCCTATGTTCTCCCTACTGGAACCTTTCGTGACCTGTGTCATAAAACAAACCATACTCTGAGTTGGGGGTAATCCATGCTGTATGTTACAAATATCATGTGCATTCATTAGCACAGAAAAGTCTCTTGTTTCTAAATAGACTGATAAAACTGCATAGTTTCATGGAATCTGGTTCATGTCGAAGCTCATGGAAACATCATAACATCTGAATCAAATAAATGAATAATCCTTTAAAAATCTTAATCTCTATTTAGCATGCTATAACAAATCTTTCATCCTTTATATCACGAAGTCTTACATTTTAAGTTATAGCACTAATTATGAAGCCTCATTTTGTCAAAAGTAGAATGAAAACATTATGTTTTGTGTTCTCTTAGCTCCCAGGGCACTCAAAAAAAAAAATGTCTGCCTACTTAAGGATTAAAAATGCAACAAACTCCAAGCTTTCAAAACGAAAATGAGAATGTCAAACTCTATTCTGGACAATTCTTGGATATTTCCAGTCGTATCTGTTTTATCACTTGCTTTTCTACCTCATCTAAGTTTGAAGTGGTCAGAGCAGTTGATGTTCTTATTCTTTCTGCTTGAACATCTTCATGTTCATCTCCAGGTTCTTCTGGATTTGGTTGAGCATTTCGACTTTGGGGAGAAATTCTGTGGAGAAAATGAATTAAACTGGCTTTCTAGTTGTCAGAAATCTTTTAAGTGTCAGTATTCCTGAGATTTAACCATTGTCCTTTCTTTCAATAGACCGTGATTCTGTCCATGGTGCTTCTGTTTTTTGCTGAGAACTCCCGTCTCACTAACCAGAACGGCTTTCTTGGTGTTGCTGCCATTATTCAAGCAAGCATCTTTGACTCTTTCAAATTTAGCAGCAAATACTGTCCTTCCTCTTGAAAATCAAAGTTTCTCGTTTCCTTTTATCACCCTGAGGTCATCTTAATCACACTAGGTATTTGTTTCAGCATCTTTTACTGTGAACTTTTTCCAGAGTCCTTCTACTTGCTAAACACTCTGAACTAAGTTGGTAAATCAACTCCGTTCCATATCTTCTATTTAGAGATGCATACTATCTTGGATGAAACAATGGCATATTTTTGTACTCATTACAATTTCTGAGAAACTTCTTGTTCAGCTGCTTAATAGAAAAACTGTCCTTAACAGTCCTAATTTTTTCACTAAGCCAGAAATTTCCCAGATGATTATACTGATTACATTTTAAAAATAAATCCATAGTAACAAGCTGACTGTACAGCTACCACCTAGGAGTATTCAAATATGATATTAAATATGAAATTAAATTTATCCCAACCTGAAAAAAGGATCCTTTTGTATTACTTTCTTTCCATATTTTAGTTCCATGCATCTTAGAACAAAAATGAATAGCAAAGCCTGAAAGTAAGGCTAGGAAAAAGAAAAAGTTTAATTTAGATATAAATTCACAAATATAACTTAAACATTTGAGGAAAATTGGTGATGTTTTGTCTTCAGGTAAAAATAATAAATTCTTATGAGTTGAGGATCAAATCTAGCTATACAGTCCCAATCCACTTAGCTAAACCTGTCTCCTGTCTTTTGCTCATAACCCATGTTATCTGTTCCATTTTCAAATTTACCTAAGGCTCAACTACTCCTCATTATACTGTGTAACTCCACCCAAGTCCAGATCATTATTTCTTACCTGGATTATTGTAACACATTCCTACCTGGTCTTCCTCTGCTCCTCTTGCCCTACAAATGTATCTTCATCTCAGTAACCAGAGCTGCTCTTTCAAAATAGAAGTCTGATCAGTCACTCTCCATAAAACCCTCCAGTGGCTCCCCCATGGCTCAGAGTAGCATCAAAGTCCTTAAAGTGGCCCAGAACACACTGTGTAGCCCCTTTCCCCAAACCCACATTGCCCACTATTTCTGTAACCATCCCTTCTTTTACTCTTCCTCTTTCTAACTCTGTGAATATCACACTAGCCTCAAGGATGAGCCTGGAACATACCAGAGTAATTACTGCCACCTCTTCCTGAACTGTTCTTCTCCAAGCCCTCTGATCACCCATCTAACCCAGTATGTATTATTAATTTAGTTTATTTTCTATCTACTTCCATCAGGATATGAACTTTATGATGTTAGAGACTTCTCATTTTACTTTTAGGTCTAGAAAAAGTACTGACAATAGTATTTAAAGATAGTTTTCTTCAGCCTAAGTATACAAATACCTTTCTTATTTAACTCTTGCCTTTTTATCCATAATTCAAATGATTTCCTTTATTCTGCATTTTGTTTTTGTTTTTTCTTTTTTGAAACAGGGTCTCATGATGTAGTTCAATCTGGCCTTGAATTCTCCGTGTAGCTCAGGCTAACCTTGAACTCATGATGATCCTCCTCCCTCAGCCTCCCAAATGCGAGAATTACAGGTGGCATATGCCACCATGCCCAGCTTATCTGCATTTTTAAAAGCTCTCTTAAATTCAGAGGGAGGTAGTAAACAGAATAAACAAAGTACAATTAATTTTATATTGAATTCTGGACTTACACATTCTATTTCTACTTATAAAAAGTGTTTCTAGGGTTTAAAAACATGTCTGATGTCATATTTAAAGCACTTTCAGAGTTGGTACACCTTAAACAAGAAAGATAAAATCATTATCATAAATGATAGCCATCCAAAAGAATATGTAGTAAGATAGAAAGTCCTCTTACTATTAGACATACTAGAAGATCAACTCCACTCAGGTCAAAATTTAGTTCATTAAATTCTCTGAAGTGCTCTTGGATTCTCTGAAAAGACCAAAAAAAGGCTAAATGAAAATTAATTTGCTTTATGATATACATATAATAATATCAAATTTCCCATCTGAACTATTTCCCTGGTTAAGCTCAATTGCTTTGTGTGTGCTGGTGACAAATTCTGTACAAAGAAGGGAAGCCTCCCACTCAATTCTTACTATTTCTCAATGAGCAAGTAACCTATATCTGTTCCTTTCTTTCATTTTACAAAAGTGTTTTGTTTTCAAACCAAAGCCTTTGATGAAAGCATAGCAGAGAGAGGTGCTGTCATTTGGAAAAACTTCTGTGAGCTAAAGTATTCATCCCGTGTTCCACACAAGCCTGTTCACAACCTGTGCAAGTCTCCTTACATTTTAGAGGGAAAGTGTTCTCACCAAAGGGATGTTTATAATCAAGAATGCCAGTCATTGCTCGGCCAATGGAAAAATATTTTTACAGACAGATTTTCCCAGTTCTCCAAGAACACAATTAATGTAGCCCCTCTTACTTTCTTAAGACCATTTCAGGGTGTTTTCTTGACTGAGCTGTTCTCTCCGCTTAAGCCATGCTCTGCTGCGTCAATGTTTCAAGGTCTTTCTGCCTTTGCTCCGCCTCTGCAGAGCATGCTTTCCTCCTCTCTCACTCTGCCACTAACTCACTCTTACTCATCTTTCAGGAATGTATTTACACATCACTTTCCCAGAACTCTGGCTCTCTGGAGTGCAATGACTGCACGTTGTATGTTCTCCCCTGGCACTCTGTCCTTTTTGCCCTCCACTGTAACCTTAGGTTTTGCTCTTTGTTTCTTGTGGTTTTTTTCTCTTCCAATACTGGGGAAATCCAGAGCCTCCTGCTAAGCTACATCCCTAGCCCTTAAAAAAAAAAAAAAAAACCTTTTAAAAAAATTTTGAGACAGGGTCTGCCTTAGGCTCTAAATTGGCCAGGCTGAACTGGAACTTGTGATCTTCCTGCCTCAGCCTCCAAGAGGGTTGGGATTACAAGTGTGTGCAAATACACTCTGCTTCTTTGTAATCTGTAAGCTCATTGTATCAGTGTACTTGAGGTTGATCTTTGTCTCATACTATGAAATTCTATGAAAGGAAGTACTGTGTTAGCTTCAGGTAACCCTAATTACTATTACATTGCCTAACACAGCACAGTGTTCGATGCATGTTTTTGAACAAGTGAATGGCATTGTACATGAGTTTACCCTCACAGTGGATAATGAATACTGTCTGAACTAGAAAGCTCTGTCGATTTGCTATTAGATTTGAGTAGCATTTAACAGTAACTATATTTTGCAGAGTGCATAAGGCAAAGTTTTTTAACAGCTATAAGAGGTACAATTTTAATTCCATAAAATTTACCACTTAAAAGGTACAATTTAGGATGTGTTGTAAGTATATAGAGCTGTGAAATCACCATCACAATTGAAATTTAGAACATTTTAATCATCACAAAGAAATTATCACTTTAGTTGCCATCACTGTCTATCTCCATAGGTCTGGGTGAAACACTTCAATAGGTTACATACTCAAAATAAATGACACAGTTTTTAATCTTACCTCTCCCAAAAAGATTTGGAATGCACCCAGGGTAGATAAAGGAACAAGTACCATGCTAGAAATTATTATACTTAAGTGGAAGTATTCAAATATCAAGAAGTTGAACATGATGGTCAAGACCTACGAGGCAAGTCCAAATATTTTGCATTAGACATACTCAGCTCATTCATAAGTGAGAAAACATTTAAGATGTAGGTATTCTTATCATGCATATCACAATTTTCCCACATGCAGATGTATCTTTATGGCCATCACAATTTCCCCTTTTAGAAAGAAAAGGGGAGGAAGGCTTTTGTTAATATAAATGTTCATGATCTTCAGCTTTTCAACAGAAAATTCTTTAAAAAAATTTTTTTAACATGTATTAGTTGTACAAATTAATGTGTTTGTTGTGACTTTGACCTCTCCTTCTCATTTCCCCTTCATGCTGAGTATTAAACCCAGGGTTTCATGCATGCTGAGCTACACTCCCAGCCAGTATAATATTTTAACACATACACAAGGCAGCAATAAACATTTCTCTCTCTTGATCATTTATGTCAGAGCTTTTGAACTTCTCTGTTCTAGATCTTCACAAAATTAGGAAAGGTTGTAGTAAACTATAGCCATCACACTGTGCTATGGAACACAAGAAAATTTTTTTTCTGTGTTTTAGTACCAGTAGCCAATCATATTTTATATTCCATCCCTCCTTGTCCTTCTTGACCTCTCATAGTCACTATTCTTCATTCAGACCTTTTTTTTTTTTTTTTTT